ACTTTTGTTGCTGACATTCTGTAGTACAGGTAACATACATGTATGTTACTTGTTACATAACTCGTTACCTCGTGATACTTGCTATTATGTATTTTATACATATATGTTACATTACTGTGTTTGCTGGGTAAGATTACACAGAAGATTATTGACTTTAAAATAAAACATTTATTGTCATAAGAATTATAACCTAACATAACGTGTTTTGTGTGTGTGTGTGTGATATATGATTTATTTAATATTAACCTTTCGCCACTGTTCCCAGGTCTTTTTTGCTCCAGGAAGGGCATTTAATATTTCAGTTACATCAGACCATAATATTTGGGCATCTTTATAGGAAAAATTTGCTGAAAATTTTGCCGACACTATTTCTGGATGTTTATTCAGAAATTCAATAAGAATTGTTCTTTGTCCATTAGAAATGTTTCCTGCTCGTTTATTTTCTGCCATCTAAAATTGAAAATATATTTACAAAGTTATAAAATAAATAAAAAAGAAGAAAGAAAAATTTTATATTTAAAAAGTTAAATTAAAATAATCAGAAATAATATAAACATAATAAAAATCTAATTTTATTTTTAAATTATTAAATAAAAAATAAAAGTTTTACTTAAAATATACTTATCAAATAAGTTTTTAATAATTACCTTTTTACGTCTTATAGGTTATAACGCTTGACAGATTTCCATAACATCACCAGAACCGCGCGCGCGAGACCGATAAGAAATAACTAAAGCACACATTTCATTGGTTGATTCACTTTACGAATATTTGGCAACAACGCTTTGGCATTCGTATACGTTCAGTTCATACNCATTAATTCGCATAGTGTTCAAGAATTAACTTTACCAATCGCATACGAAGGTTTCATGCGAAATATCGTATGCGAAATAATCGTACAAACTCCAGAATAGGCCCCCCTGGTCACTCGTAGCGCCCTCGTTCGTTGGTTAGCGGGACGGCGCGAACGGTGTAATTTCACGGGATCAGATCAAATTATTCCCTTTTTATACAATTTCATTGGTTGAAATTGTTGAGTTCACATGAAACTTTTCACGTGAAAAATTCCATGATCGATATCCAGATGATGTTTTTACTTCGATTTTCAGCCGCCAGATGTGCGATGATAGAGGAGACAATTGTGTATTGAGTACACCAAAAAGGAATTCTTTTCGAACCCATTATGAACAGGAAAAGGACTTCCTTCAGAATACTTTAATTTGATCCTATAAGAAG